GTGTGCTGGTGGGTGGGTGGGGTGGGGGCGGTGGGAGGGGGTCACGGGTGCTTCCCCCCTCGCCCAGCCCGCGACGACGTCGGCGGACAGGCGGCGGCGGCAAAGCGGGCAACGGATCGGGGCCGCGGCAGGCCCGGGGAAGCGAGGCACGCCAGGGCGCGGCCCCGGGGAGCAGCAGATGGGGAGCGGACCGGGGCGGACGGGCGGACGGACAGAGAGGGGCACCGGCGGTGTGCGGCCACGTGACACCAACGCCACGGAACCGGCGGTGGAGGCGGGGGTGGCCGCGCGCCACCGCGAGGGGGATGGGCTCGAAACGACCCGGGGGAAGCGAGTCAGCCGCTAGGGCGCACCGCGGGATCTCACCGCCAGAGGCCTCCCAGCACAGGGGCGGTCCCGCGGCACACCCAGAACGACAGACTGGCCTCTCCGGCCACACACCCCACCCCCGCGGGGGGGAGGGGGGGCGCACCCCTCACGGGGGCCTCACGCCCACCGCCACACCTACACCCAGAGCCGCAGCCGGCCCGGGAGAACGCTCTCGCGCCGCGTACCGGCAAGGCCCCCACAGCCCTCACACGCGCAACCCTGCTGTGCGCCAAAGGCTTCCCCCCGCCCGCCCCGTCCCCCTCTCAGGGCTCCGAGGGCACTGCGCCACCCGGGGACGCCACCGGCCGACAGAGGCCGGTAGGCGACACCCACGTGAGGCGAGGCCAGCTCGGTCCCAGACCGCGGGGGACGGGGGTGGGAGGGGACACAGGCGGCCGCACGCACGGGACGAGGAGGAGGGCCGGCAGCGGTGCGGAGGGGCCGGCCAGCACACGCAGCAGGGGCTGCGGGACGGGGGCGAGGGCGCCGTCCCGGGGACCAGGAAACACCGGGACACAGCCGGGCCACCAGGAAAACCAGCGCGGGGTCACACCGCCACCCACGCACGAGGGCGGTCCCGCGACGCCTGGGACGCCGGCCGTTCCCGGCCAATCCCTGGAGCGGGCCCCACACCCCGGCCCCGCCGCCAGGGCCGGCGTGCCGTCCAGCCAGCCCTTCCTCCATCCGTCCGTCCGTCCGTCCATCCACGACAGATCCATCTTCCATCCAAGTCTGACCCCGAGGGCTCAACATCCTGGGGACACGCTCTCGAGCGAGGCGGCCCAGACCGGGCCCACCACACCACCACCGGCTGTGGCTCGGGGGCGAGGGCGGGCGCGACAGGCTCCTCCTCACCACAGCTGCGGGGCTGGGGGAGCCGGGGCCGACCGGGCGTCGCGCCCCGACCACCCCCTTTCCCCCTGGGCTCACACCGCGGGGCCGGCCGCGCGCACACAGCACACACGCACGGCCGCCCCCCACTCGCCAGACACCCGGCGGGGCCCAGCGGGACCCTCCCCCAACTCGGAGGGGGGAGGCGCAGGCCGCAGTAGGCAACAAGCGGCACGCGGCCCCACCGCGGGGCCGGCGCAACCATCACCACCCCCCCCTTCCCACGGAGGGGAGGGGGGGGGGGCTTTTCTGCCCACGTGCTCTGGCAGTCGCCACGGTGGCCACTGCGCACTCGGGAGGGGCAGCGTCTGGGGGGTCCGGTACCCCAAGGCTCCCTCTCAGATCGCTAGAGAAGGCTTTCTCACCGAGGGCGCGCCGTCCCTCACCCGGTCGTCTCTCCTTCGGGCCCCACAGAGGCACACCGGGAGCCGCCAGTCCTCAACTGGGCGGGAGGGGTCTGCGGTACAGGTAAGCAGATGACCACGCACAGGAGCGCGTGCGCGGCCAGGGCCCGGGCAGAGCCCGCGCCCCGCCCCCTGCAAGGCCTCATCCGTCAGCCTCCGCGACGAGGGGAGCACACAACGCTTCTCTCACCGCCTCGACCCGCTCCCACCCAGAGAGAGCCACTCATGGGACACACGCACACCACCGTGGTGGGGACCCGAGGAGGACACAGGGTTAAGGGAAAACGGCACCACCGCTCGGCCTCGGGCACCTGAGGGACGACCTGGAGCACTCCAGGGGCACCACCGAGGGTCCAACAAGGCACGCTCACACACCCGTGCGGGGGCGTGTGGCGTGGCAGCGGCACAGCCCTCCCCACCGCGGGGAGGGCCGCTCGCGGGGCAACACGCCAGGAAGGCGAAAGCAAGCGCATCTGCTGTGTCTGAAGACCAACGGCCCCACCAGACACCCCAAGGCGGGGGACGGGAGACCGAAGGTCAGGGCCGGAGGCCTCACCCCAACACCCCCTGCCTTCCTCACCCTCCCCAAGGGGCAAGGGGGGAAAGACAGGCGAGGGGCACCGCGGACAGACCGAGAAGAGCGGACACGTTCACTGGGAACGCCCGTCCCTCGTCCGGCACGGCTTAGGCCCGGCCCGGGAGAGCACGACCACACCACATCAATCAGTTGAGCCAAGGTGGGGGGGTGGGGGTGGGGAGAGGGCACAGGCGAGGACAGCCACCAGAAGGGCCCGCTTTAAGCCTCACTGGCAACCGGCAACCTCCGGCAACCTTCCCCCTCCCCGCCACCAACAACCCCACACCTCAGGCGAGGGCGACCGACGACCCCAGGAGGAGAACGCCTGACACGTGGCACGGAGCCTACAGGGCGGGGGTCGTCCCAGCCACCACCGGCTGCCCGCAGCGGGGAGCGCAGAGTCATCAATCAAATCAAAGACCCACACCGCCTCGCCCCACCGCCCTCGGGCCGCCCTGGGACCAGAGGTGGCACCACGAGCCGGGTCGGCCAGACACACCACACGGGAGCCGGCGCACAGGGCCCAGGCGGGCGGCTCCAGCGGCAGAGGCCAAATCAGGCGCCGGCTGGCGGCCCAAAGGCCCAGAGCCCCGCGTGCATCCAGAGACCCAAAGTTCTCGGCGGCAGACACCAAAGCAGACCGTGTCAGCACTTACCTGGTGGCAAAAAAGACCTATTTCGGGCGACACAATGACAGCAGCCGACAGCAGGGCCCATCTACGACTCGCAGGGAGGGACCCCGGAACCTTGACCCGGCCACCTGTTCCCAGCACTACCCCACGAACACCAGGCCTGGAGCTATCGGGGGCCATCTGGTCGACTTGGGGGGGGGGGGAGGGGGAGGGGGGAGGGAGGGGGCCGCGTGGTGGCAAAAGTGGGGACGCGGACGCCAAGGGAGAGGGAGCTGGCCGGAGACGCCCTCCCCGCTTCGCCCACACGCGTAGGCGGACCGGTCCGTCCGAGTCTCCGAACGGGGACTTGGCTTCGATGTGCATAAAGAAAAAAAGAAGAAAGCAACGTCAGCGAGGCGCCTCCAACAAGACGAGCCGGCCCCGACCAGGGACCACGCCCGGGGCCCAGACCGTCCTACACGGGGCACCCAGGACGGCTCGAGCCGGTCCCCACCCACCTCCTGACTGACCGGGATTCAGGGAGGTTGGGGAGGGGTGAGAAAAAGTCGCGTCCGACGACCGAGACCCACGAGGGCACGCTGTATGGTCGAGCGCGCCCTCCCCGGCCACCCGCGGGAGCAGGGCCCGGTCCATCCACGTCTCCGGACCTATCGGGACTTTGAGAAAGAAAAGGCATGCGTGCCGGGAGACGCCTCAGGCGACAGGACCCCACCGGGGGACCGCACACGCGCCCGCGCCGGCCGTCCTCTCCGGGTCAGCCCTCACGACTCCGGCGGGCGGGTCCCCACCTGGGGAGTGCGACGCGGAAAACACCTCTGTCAGAGAGAACCCGAGGGCCCGGACCCAGCCGCGCCCTCCGCCGACCTCCACGCCACAGTCCGGGCCGGTCCCCACCTCCGGAGCGGGGCCGAGGGCGAAGCACACGCTCCTGAGGGCGACCCGGGAGGAGGCCGGACCGCCGAGTCCGAGTCCAGGCGCTCCGGGCAGGGAAGACCCTCTCCCTGCCCACCGCGGCGGGCCGGCCCAGGTAGGGTCCGGCCGGTCCGTCTCCACGGCCGGAGGGGCACGGGGAGATGCTGGTCGACCCGGCCAGGCCGCCCCAGAGCCCCGATCTGGAGCGCCGCGACAGTCACCCTCCTCAGAAGCCTAGAGAACCAATCTCCGCAGACAGCAGGACGTCCCCAGGCCTCGGTGTCCCCGGGACTGTCACCGCCAGCGTAGCCGGTCTCTGAGAGCTCTGCCTCGGGCCCGGTGGCTGAGTCACAATCCTCCTGAAGGCCTCGCCGAAGCTCCGGAGGGGGAGGGACAATATAGAAGCGGCCGCCAGGTGGCTCCTGACAAACGGCTCGACCGTCCCGAGGACGGGTCGCTGTCGCCGGGCGCCGAGGACGCCACCGCGCCGGCCTCCCAAACGCCCGAGCTCGGCCCGGAGCCTCCTCCGCCTCCGAGCCACACGACGCGACGCGACCCCGGCCGCAGAGGAAGGGAGAGGAGCTGGGAACTATCTCCTCAGGAGGCTGCCCCGAAGGAGACGCGCTCCCCCCCCCCCCCCACACACACACACACGCGCGATTCCAGGGTGGTGGGGGGACGTTCCACGGAGACGCTGGCGGCGGGGGCCCGGGGGCCGAGAGAGGGGCAGCAGTGACATCCCGGGCTCCCCCGGACCCCCTCCCCCCAAAAGAGGGAGGGAGGGGAGGAAGGAGGGAGGGAGGGAGGGAGGGAGGGAGGGAGAGAGGGACCGACCGGCAAAGCGAAACCAGGCAAGCGCTGCTCGGAGAACAAAGCAGGACTTTCGAAAGCAGACACAGACACAGACACAGACACGCAAGCCCAGGAGCAAGAAAGGAAACGAAGGAGACACTCGGACCCCCAACAAGAGGAAACAAAACTCAACCTGGGTAGAGACCGTGACCAAGTCCAAAGACAACAAACACAAGCATGCGCGGGTGGGTGGGGAAAGTGCACTTGAGGTCAGGAGAACATGGATTTCAAGATCACTGGCCACAAACACCGGAAAGGCGGGCGGCCGGGCGGTCTCGGGTGGCAGGGCTGCGGGGGGTGGGGTTGAGGGAGGGGCGCGGTGGGGAGGACCGAGTCAATAGGGATCCACTAAATAAACCCCGG